GTAGGGAAAATTATTTAGAAAACCCAAGATGTCCAGATTTTTGCAAGTGTAAATTGAAATGTGGGTCTTAACAACAGTAACTCTCAAGTGCAAGCTTCTGAACTGCACTCCTGTGTTCAAGTAGCAGACAGCTGCTGACATTACAGCAGGATCAGGTTTTGAACAGCATTTTTAACACTGACTAAGAAATGTGTAGGAACTAAAGTGTTGACTTTAAAAGAAAAGAAAAAACTTGACAAAAATTCCTTCTTAGGCCTTCTTAGTAGCTATTGTGGTACCTGATCCTGAGACTTTGTGCAGCTGGGCCAAGAAAAAGGGACTTGAAGGCTCATATGAAGAGCTATGTAAAAACAAGGTGAGTTGTATCTAACTAAACAGCTAGTTGATCTGTGTCAACTTTTTCAAGCTATACAATGTCATCTTGTATCTGCAGGACCTCAAAAAACACATTCTGGAAGACATGGTGAGGATTGGGAAAGATGCTGGTTTGAAGTCATTTGAACAGGTAAGATGCTTGTGAGAACTGAGCACCTAATTCTTTAAACTTCTCAACACCAATATAATCTGACTTTCCAGAAACTGCTTGTAACTTGCATCTGGAAAATGTTTAAAGTGATGGGCTTTTTATTAAAAAATTGCCCAGACATCATAGCCTTGTCTAATTCAAGGAAGAACTAATATTAGCTTGGCTAATAACTGTTTACTTTCCAGGTCAAAGACATTGTCGTGCACACTGAAATGTTTTCTATTGAAAATGGCCTGCTGACACCAACACTGAAGGCGAAGAGACCAGAACTGCGAAAATATTTTCAGTCACAGATAGATGAACTCTATGCTAATGCCAAAATGTAACTGCGAATGGAATGAAGAAAGTGGCACACATCTGATGTCTACTGTTGGCCTTCATATCTGTAATTTGACTACAGCAAACATAGGGAAGGAAACTGTGCAATCATTAACTTGTACAAAAATGGGTACTTGCCATAGGAACATTGAAGAAATGGAACACTGCCTTACTGTCAAGTTGTGTTACATACTGTTTTTATGGTCACCTACAATTTCCAAAAAGAGCCTTAACTATAAATGGTAACTATATGTAAGTTATTTAAGACTTCCTTGGCCAAAAATGGGACTCTCCTTCACCAAGGAGCTACGGTTTTCTTATTGCCAGCATGTTTGCTGTTTGCAGTTGTCAGTTCCACAAAGGATTTGGCAGGTTTGAAAATGCCTCTAAGTATCTTGCATCCTCAGAAAGATTACTTAATCTCTTAAAAAAAAAAAAAACCCAACCCTTACAATTGTATAGCTGGTATCACATCTTGCATTAGTCCTGATATTAACTGGGGCAGGGCATCTGAGTGGTTTTTGTCTCCCTCCTACATCTGCAGCCAGTTCTGAGGTGTACTTTTATAAGGTAGAAGTCAGAACTCCACACAAAGGAGACCAATGAATACAAGTTTCTCAGAGTAAGTCTGCATTTGGTGGTTCTGCACTAGAAGTTGATGCAGTTAATTCATCAAGTGTAGCCTTTGCTATGCTAACACAAATCCAGAGTAATGCCAGCCCTGTAAATGAACAGATCCTAACTACAGTGAGAAAACTAGAGACCTAAAACCAAAACAATTCAGGAGGCTGGGCTATGCTAACAGTCAGGTAAACGCTGCACCTGTACTAGCCACTTGTTGACCTGAACATGTATTTAAAATGCATTTTTAAAAAATGTGCCAGATCTGTAGGCAGAAGAGCTTCTGATATAACCTCTAGCTTTTCTGTGCTTTATGTATGAGCCACTGAGTATTCTTCACTGAATAGCAGAATAGGTCAGGTAGAATGTTTTTGCCTGATGCTTTGCAGCAATTGGAAGTATTTATATACACCAACAGAACTGTGTTGGCACAGGATGGGTATTTGTTCAGGGATAAAACCTAATTCCCAGATAAATGACAAAATAACTAGTTACCTTTTGTTTGATAAATCAGCAGAAATAAGCCTTATTACAGCGTAAGTCTTTTGCTATCCTTAACAGAGTTGGTTTTGCATTAGCATTCATTGCTGTTTTTTGAAAACATGGATATATGTAAAATACAAGCACAACAAGGTTTGCACTAAGATTTGTGTGTGATTGTAATGCACTACTCTGTAGCATAATTTCATACATGTGTGCAATTAAGGTACACAAATCCAAGTCAACTGGTTAGAGCAGTAGTTTGTTACATTGGAATTCAAATGTTTGCTTAGTGTTGGCTATTTCTATGTTTTATAAAACCAAAACAATTTTCAAAACCAATGAAGGAAACCAAAATAAATATTTCTGCATTTCAACTCAGTGAAGTGTTTGTTTATCAAGGAAAGATGCTGCTGATTAACAAGCCAAGGTGTAATTTGGTAACTTGACAAGCTGTGACACTCCACTGCTACAAACATACTAAATAGAGGATAAGTGCTGGTTGTGACAGTTTACTGGCCATTATCTATAAGAAAGGGATGCTATTGTATGTAATTTGCTCCATCAGTATTCTTAGACAAAAATCTTTATTTTTTGTTACCAGTATGTTTCTCAGTTAGGTAATGTCCTTGTAACTCCTGATTTCACTCAAGCTGTTTTTCTTGAACTGACACGGCTTTTGGGTGGTGCTGGTTGTCCTTCCTGTGCTGCCATCATCTCCCCTTCCCCCCCTTCTACCATGCATCTGGCTTTCATCAGGGTTCTGGTATGAGAGAGTTCAAGGGCAGACTTACCAGACAGTGGTAGATGAAGCATCACCACCAAGGCGCTGTTTTGATGTTACTGGGATATAAGCACATTTCTGTTTCTAGTAATGTAGACTTTATCCTCAAGTGATTTTTGTATGCTCCTGAAGGGACTCCAAACCAAATTTTTGCCACTTAATGCCATACACACATGAATATGCTGCTTGAGAAGGCAGGGTGAAGTGCTACCCCACCTCTAAGGGAGATGGTTGAGAGCTGGATTTAAGGTTTACATTCTTAACACATCCCATCAAAGGCAGCTTTTTCTGGATGAGCCATTTTTCACTACAGAAACAAAGTTGTGCTGTCTGTAGTCTGTACTACTGCTGGTTACCTTCAGCTTGTGGACTGCTACATACGGCTGGGTGCTGTAAGCCAGCAAACTAGTGGAGACAGCACTCCACCTGTTAATCCCAAAGTGATCTTTCACTGTGTTTTAGCTTATTTGGTTGGGGAAAGAAAAAGGGGGGGGGGGTAGAGGGGCAGTAGCTGATGACTGGAACACCTTTATCTGTGGGTGAAGAGATGTGACATGAAAAGGGACTTTTGGCAATTAATTGTGGAGTAACTAAATGCCAGAGGTCTAGAATTACAAGTTTTCAATGTGAAGCCTACTTTTTTTTTTTGGCACACTATTATAGCAACTATTTTTTTATGTTTAACTGCTGCAAGTTTTTGTCAGGTTGTTGTTATAGAAATTACCCTGTTCACTTGTTTTTCTAGACAAGCAATGTCTTGGCCTGTTTATATAATGCCACCCATATATAGCTTTGACTTAGGGCATGTCTGGGGGAGAGAAGGTGGGCTTTTTTTTGTAGTGTAGTCTGCAGGGAAAAAAGTGGTCAGTAGAGCCATGGTCAGGTGAATTCTACTGGAACACTGAATCCAGACTTTTCTCCTCATTCGTCTCTTTAAAATGGGTGGCGGGGGAGGCAACAGCTGCTGGTGCACAAGTACCTTGGTACTCCATTTTAAAATAACCGCTGCGCACTGAAGGTGAGGAAACCCCTCCCCGAAGTGCTCTCTCCTTCCCCTGGCAGTTGGTGCCGTCTCCCTGCTCGGCCCCTGGCCCCAGCTGCTCCCCCGCGGCGAAGTCCCGCTACGGCTTTCCCCCGCC